GGGGGTGCTTTTCACTCAGCCTCATAATCTGAGCCGACCTGTGACAATGAGACTGTCACAGGTCGCCTCTATAGATCGGGAAGTGAAAGAACACATACCGGCGCTCGCTCACTTCTCGATCTATCCTTGCAGAGAGTGGTGACTCCCTGCAGGGATTCCCCCTCTCCCATGTCCGATCCTCCAGCACCGACTGGCGGAACGGACGGGGGAGGGGGCGGGTACAGCTGTCTCTGCCTCTAGATAGGCAGAGCCAGCTGTCAGACAGACATAATTGTCGGGATCCGTCCCGGCTGTAGCTTGCAATATACTGAGCCTAGGGTGACGGGAGGACGCTAGTTTGTGTCCTCCTGTGACCCCGAGGAGAACTATGGGGGAAAGCCCTGACCTCGTAGCTCTCCTTTAAACTTTGTTTTGGACGCCGCGTAGTCATATTAGAACCCCTGGCGAGATTCCTCCTCACTTCACATTGTGTCTCCAGTGGAGGGCAAATCCCATTCTAAACCAGGCCTAGAGAAGTCATCCCGGAGGCCAGGGGGCGGCATCAATAAAAAAAGTGAGCTGGGCCATAGAAATTGTAGTTCTGGTATCCACTGAGGGTAGTAGTTACTTTAGTCCTCTCGTCGAATAAAACCCGTTTAGTGCTGTGATCGGCACATTTAGTCTAAATAGGACTGTGATAGCTAACGATTATTTTCATCATTCATTAGTTATCAGATTATTAACTTCGATTAATCGGATAACATTATTTTTTAAAACATTTATCCAGTCATTCATTTTTAAAAAAAAACACAAATGCCGCGTTACAGAAAAAGTTGACTTCAGAATATGATTGTGATGGTGGCATCAGCTGAGGTACAGGGGAGGTCCTCGGGGGAATGCAGTCACAGTGGTCTCTCCTCCCCGCTGGTTGCCGGCCGCAGTAGTCTGTGTCCCCCGCTGCCTCTGCCGATACAGGCGGGGAGAGCAGCGGAGACTGAAAGGGACACAGACAGCGGGGAGTAACAGAGCGGCGCCAACTAATCGTTAATCAACTACTCGATGATGAGAATTGTTGCCAAAGTTTCTCATTATTGATTATAATTGATTTCATCGATTAGTCGTTGCAGCCCCAGACTGTGAAGTCCAATAGGCACCAGAGTGTGACCGCGCCGCTCTGTGTACTCCAACCTGGTAACACGCACCCTCTACACCCAGCCAGTCTGTATGAGGAGAGGTGATGAGGGACGTGACCAGGTTAGTGCACCGACAGAGCAGGTGACGCATTCCCAAGGGGTGTTAGAAGGCATTTCCGAGCAAAATCATAACATATGGCTGCACGGGACTAAGAACAAAAGCTGGACATACACAGGTGAGAAATCCATCCATCCTCCCCATCCGCATCAAAAGGAAAGGGAGAAGGGGTGACAACAGGGCCATCCACAGCTTGAATGTTGGCCGTCTTCCCCTGCACTGCTCTGGGTGAGGGAGCAGCAGCACAAGCAGCCAATCAGACTCTGTTGCTTGCACATGTGCTCACAGGGAATGCACTGACGGGAGCAGAGAGAGTTGCTGCTCCTTCACTCAGCAGGCAGGAAAGTGACACCACTGCGCTCCATCACAGAGAAAGCGGTGTCACCGTCCTGACTGTGCCGTCTGGCAGAAGTGTAGGAGTCCCAGGCAGTGGTAGGACAGACAACAGACAACATAAATTTACAGTGGAAGCTTCCTTAAAGGACACGTACCTGCCAAGTGACTTCCCGGGGGGCCCATCTGCGTTGGCTGATTGACCTCGAAATTTCCAAACATAGGATTCTGGGGTCTCTCGGGGAATGAGAATGTGGTGTGGGGATCCCCAACGTTCCTGTATACGGGATAGTGGGGAGACAGAGGAACCATTCCCATGTTGCTATATCCCATAGGAGACGGTGGGTGTGGCATCCCGTCCGCTCTGTTGGCATATCCCGGAGAGATGGGGCTGCCATTAAAGTACGTTGGTGAAGGGGTCACATACGGTTTTCGGTGATTAGTATCCACGGGTGGTCCTGGGTACATCCCCTGTGCGTTCCACTGATAGCCCACCCCGCACTGGTTGTTGCAGCACGTCCCGCACCGGGGGCACTGCACTCCGCCGCCGCGTTCCTGGGACGAGGAGATCTCGCTGGGGGGGAAATGGACGGAAGCTTCCGGAGACTCCCGTTCAACTTTAATCGTCGGCTCGGCATCTGAAAAATACACAAAGGATGAAATCTCACTGATGTAGCTCAATGACTGTGCCACGACTGCCGATGGTGGTGGTGGGGGGGAGGGGCAGGGGTGCAGAATACAAGAATGACCGCAAAAAAACTGAAGGAACTTCCCAGAGTCCGGACTGCGTCCTTAAACTCCGAACACACATCGCCCCCCCCCACCCCTCCTATCA